ACCCCCCCCCCATGCTCTTCATGCACCCTGCATGCAGCTGGAAAACCCCAAACACTGCTCACCCGTGGAGCCAGCCACTATGGCTTTCAATTTCCGTTTGTGCCTGCAAAAGAAATACAGCAAATCAGGAAAGAAAATAAGGAAGATGCTCGAAAGGAGAGGGGGACACAGATCTGCAATAACCCTGCAAACAGCCCCTGTATCTATAAGAACGGTGTGTTTGGTGGGAGGGGCACTATTAGCATTAAAACCATTATATTTTGGGGGAAGAGGAGCAATTTCCGAATCCAGGCTGAGCCCCGCCGCAGAAGGTGTTGGGAAGCTGATGCCTTCCTTTGCTTGCTGGCACTGCCAGGGCCAGGATCAGCCCCGCGGGTTCCCCTGGCCCGTGGAGACTGCAGCTCGTAGGGCAGAGCCTGGGCGTTACTCACACTGTCCGGTAGTACCAGTTCATGAGGATGAAGAGCATGGCAGCCAGGAAGAGCAGGACGGCCAGCACGATGATCGCCATCTAGGAGAGACAGAAGGGTGGTAGTGACCTCTGGCATGGAGCCGGCACTCGTTGGTGGGCACCTGCATGCATTTATTTGGGTGAAACATGTCTCCAGGCCATGACAGGCCATGGAGGACGGGAAAAGACATCGCCCCACCTGTGAGCAGCAGTCATCTCCGGCCCCAGCTGGGCTGTTACCTGCAGAGCCGAGAGGTCATCTGGGGCCCGGGTGGTGATGGCGGGCTGCACATCCAGCACATTGTAGTTCCTGAAGAGGTTCCTCAGCTGCTCCTTGTTCTCGTCTATCATCTGAATCACCCTGGGAAGAGAAGGGTTGCTTGGGCATCTTGACATTAATGAAGCTCTGCGAGGACTCAACAGGCCAGGCGATGGGCTGGGTGATGGGCAGGTGACGTACCGCTCCACGTCCAGGATGCGGTTGGTCTCTCTGTTCACCACGTGGATCAGCAGCTCTGTCTGTGCGAAGTTCACTCGACCTTTCTTGTCAACATGGAACTGGGGAGACACAGCAAGGTCTGCAG